TGAGGCTGAAGTGGTTGAAGTTGACAGGGTAGCCAACGGCAGTACCAAGAAGAACACAGCAGTGGCAGCCGTGATTAGTCGTCCGGCAATGCTAGCGATCAGGACTGTATTCTGATGCAAACAACTGTCCGAAGCTGGCGACAGGAACGATCCGGGCTCTCCTGCTTCTTCGCCAGCCTCCAATAGTGGACGGCCCGTAGCTGCTTGTGGAGCCAGCGCTGAAAAGGATCCGTCTGAGAGCGCGTGCCAAAGACAAGCAACCAGCGAAGGACTCATGTAGCTCGTGCTTTCCCGCCACTGAACTCTTCAGTGCTTGCTGAGGTGTAGAGCCGACAACATGACAATGAGAAATCCACGTCCGGTTTCCGCCGCCAAGTGCAGTGCCATTCGCCATCGTCCGTCCTCCGGCACTACTTAGAGTGTCATTTGCCATCGTCCGGTTTCCGACGCTAGTCACTAGCATACCAGGAGTGTAGCGCTGTTCTGGGCATTGTTTCTCCTTTTGGCAGTAATTAGGCATCGTGTCGATATAAACCTACACAGTCGTGGAAGAGGCAAGAAAAGGTAGCTTACTTGCAAGCGTCGCATCGCCCTTTCGCCGCTGTGTCTGATCCTGCCCTTCTGACCACATCCGTACAGCTGCGTTGACCTCATCTGGCGGCCAGAATCAACCGGGATCTCGGACGACTCTGGCGGTGGACCATCTCGTCATGCGAAAGGATTCATTTGGACACCAAGAAAGAGGGGGCTGGATTGCTGGGAACAGATATGTTCTAGTATTCCTACCAGACTCCTACGGTGGATATTTAAAGATGATCTCCCACCGATTCCAAGTCTTTGTTCTTTTCTTCCTGGCACCCTCTGGCGGTCTCGTACCATCTGAGCGGTCTTCATACCTCCCAACTAGGCGATGCCTTCCAGATGGAGGATGCCTCATGAGGAGACGGCTACACCAGTTACCCACTCTTTGGCCGACCTACTCCGGAGAAGCACGTACGGAGGAAGGCCGAGGAGACACTGCCATCCACATGTCCATACTAATCCGGCCCAACTTCTGCTCATCTCTCTCTCGCGCATCACGGGGCGCCACAGCGGTGCCTGTCAAACGATATTTACCCAGGCGTGACTTGATGCCCCACCGCCCGTGTCGTCCCGCCCGCGAGAGGGGTGAGTAGCAGGTGAGTCGAGATGGTGTGACATATTGGAGACATTAGTCTTCCGCCGAACGGCGTGCTTCAGCAGGAGTCCCGGTCAACGGCTGTGACGGGGCGTTCCCGTCGATGTGGAATCCAACAAGCGACCCTGTGGGGTATTCACCTCGTTGATGCGGAATCCAAAGAGCGACCATACGGGCTATTCCTGTTGATGTGGAATCCGACAGGGGTCGTGGATATGGAAACCCGCGTACCGGCCAGCGAAGACCGCCTCTGCAACCTGTCCCTAGTGCTGACTACGGATCTGTCTCCTTTCGAGACAAAGCCAATCCAGAGACACAGTATAGTCGTGTTAGATGGCAGTAGATCACAGGTGCGATGGACCGTAGATTTGGTCCTCGGCAGTTGTCTTTCTCCATGACACGTCCACTGTGAGATGATGTGCTCACAATGCCCTCGCCATGTGCCGTGATGAAGCTGCCTGTCAAGACCAGCTTCATGTCGTGTCGTAAACCAAGGACACTTCTGTCGAACGCGGCCGAAGCATTGGTGGCCAGAAAAGTCCATTGACTCCTCGCGCCTCAAGCAGGCCAGTGGGACTACACATGAACAGAATAGAACACGTCCTGATATGAGGCTGGTCCGTTTCTGCCACGAATTGAAGTCGAATTACGGCCCGAAGGACTTGTGGCCCAAGCTGCCACTGGACGGATGGCGCCACAGTGGCTGTAATCTGCTGCATGCAACCTTCCGTGCCTGTGCCAGTTCATGCCCCGCAGGCAGTTGCAGCCCCACGGGCTTGGACCACCTTTGCGGACCAGCTAACATCGACTTAGCAGGAACTCAACATCCAGACAGGGCTCCTTCTGGTCACTCCTCAAATGAACTTATGCCACCCCAAAACAGCCCCAGTCCGTTTCTTGCGTGCGGCCACTCCTGGTCGACGTGCCATGGTCCGTTTATTCAACTCTTTCCGTCGTTCATTCTCGACCTGAGGTGCCTCACGTTGTAGGCGATGCACGAATCAGGCTCGACTGTGCAGAAGATATGCTATCAAGTCCGAAACATGCCGTTTCGGCGCGGAAACAGAAATGCTGGATCTGAAGTGTCCCTTTGCCTTTAGGTCGTTGGCGCGGGGAACGGACATTGGGCGGCTTCGGTACGTGGTTTCCAGGTGGGGCAATGGGACGGTTTCGATCCTGGCCATCGTCCACCGTCCGCGTTCGGGTCTGCCTGGAGATGCCCCGCATATTGGAATCAAAGGACGCTTCGATCCCACGACATGCCCCGCAGATGCCAGCCAAGGGTTGGTCTGGTCCCAGAACCCAGGGCATGCCCCGCAGCTGATTGCAAAGTATAGGGACTTGAGTCCAGCTGTGCAGCCACTTGCAGGCGTGCTAATAGACGGTTTCCGCTGTTGGTGAGATATAAAACAACTCTAAGTTGAAAGGGAAGCTAGTACCTTCAATCCAGCAGGTATTTCGGCTATGGGTGCCACGTGCAGTACGCATCATGTCCGACTCGCTGCTTCACACTTTTAGTAGCCTCGTGAGCTCTGTGATGTAATGAATTCTTTCTCTTCTGTCATAAAAGTACTATGAGCAGGCAGACTTGGAGATTCTAACATGTCCAAGACCCGAAAACATTGTGAAAATCCTGATTGTCCGAAGATACGGCAGAAACCTCGCTGGGGTCCATCCGTGCATTGTCAATCGACCACAATGCGTCCATCGAAAAAATATCGGTATTTTCTGGCGTGACACAGAGAAGGCCAAGTTTTGCATATCCATACTTCATCAGAAGTCCGTTCACCCATGTAAGAACCCGAGTGGCTGCCGTCGGTATCTGGCTCGAACCCCGAAGATCCCAAAAGGCCTGACAGATCCTAAGCCGCTCTTCGAGGGCTGCCGGCTCTATTACCACAAGTCTAGCCCGATCACCATCTTCGACGATGCTGGGACTGCTGAGCAGAAACGAAAACTCCAAGCAGAGCACCGTCGTAGCCAAAAGGAAATCGTATGAAACAAGCGGGCTCAGAGCCCATCGATTTTCGCTTTGCAGGTTTTCTACAAATTTGCCTTGGATATATACGATGTCGGCGGCGGCTAAAATGCACCTGCGTCTGAAATGGTTCCACTCTTGTCCTAATCTTCCGATTTAAGGAGGAAACATTGACCTCCTGTACAGGACCAGTATCGCGCCAGAGTATACTATGCGCGCCATCATAGATACGGACGTGGCTTTGAGTTGATCGCCGACGATCGTCTCCGGAATCTTCTGGTACACATCCTCGATCTGGGCTTCAAAGTCCATGAGAAGTTGCCGTGTTACAGATGCACCTTTAAAGATCCCTAGCCCAACAGTGGTAGATATTCTGGCTAATCGGCAGAGGAGAATGATTGGAAGCGCTGGTGTCCACTGCTCAAGTGGCTGCGGGGAATAGAGTGACAGCGTTGACTCAGTGGAGTGACTATTGTTAATGTTGAGAATAGCCGTGGATCCTTGGAATGAATGCAGAGACGGGGTCTGGCTTCTACCGAGATAGAAAGCTGCATAATAATGCAAGACGTCCAGGACGCCACAGGCTCTTGCTCGCATTTGGCCAGCATATGTGTTGGGATATGGGCTATCTCGGTAGCCTGAGGCTTCGGCTAAGGCTGAAGCCTCGCCGAGTGCGGCAAAGGCTCTGCCCAGGTTATGCTCGTAGTAGAGTATTGCCGCACAATACAAGATCTTTGCTTCCACCTTATCATCGCCAGGGGTGTCCGAAATGGAGTGGTGTAGGCATTCCCGGCAATGATTCAGGGAGCTCTGAATGTTGTCTCTGCTCGGCTCGACACCTCCCGGTCCTGTTTCTTGGAGGAAGTCGCAGTGGATCAAGGCCACGGTTATGCAACCATAGATGAGGGCCATAGATTCGAATGTTGCCTGGTAGGGTTGAGATCTGAGTGCTACCCACTTTAAATATCAGCAATTGCTCTCCAGTAGCATGAGTCGGGCCAAGCTATACCTTTTTTACAAGAACATCCTCATGAAGCATGCCTGTTGTCTTATAAGCTTCGAGTACATTGTAAGCACACATTAAGACTATTACCTGCAATAAAATCTCCAGATCTGACAAAGCGCAGCAAGAGAAGCTCAACCAAATCTTCGCTCCCACCACTCCTGGATAGTTGCACCAAGTATTCAGAGTAGAATGATGCGTGCAGATGAGAAGTCTGGCTTGGGATGGCTGCCGCATGTGCGGCTGTCAAGGCGTCGGACGCTGGGTTTCCAGTGCTCTCCATGTCGCTTGCGTTTTCCATCTCGTCGATGTTTAAGCCAGGAGCATCCCATGTGCTCAAACCAGACTCGAGCTGTAATCCACCTACGTACGCACATTCGTAGCCACGCTTCGAGCACTCTGTGCAAGGCACTTTCTTGTCACATCTCGTTCTATATCAACCTGTCAATTACGACTTCGCCAGTAGTGTTGAAAGGTTCCATACTTTCTCAAACGACATGGCTGGCAAGCCCTTGGAGCTCGTGTCTTTCCCATTTCGACGAGAGCCCACGACAAGCAGTATTATAAGAATCGAAGGATGTTGAAGGTTTATCAGTATGCACGTTTTCCAACGATGATTTTTGCAACGCACCAGCCTCTCGCACCATCCGGTTTCAACAGATAGATATACCGCAGACGGCTAAGCTATGGGTGTGTTCACGGCATGCCGACCGTGCGGAAGCTGAAGCAGCTCGGGTATGTCCACTCCGACAATCCCTGTATATCGGTTGATGCGCAAGCGCACCGCTTTGTAGCAATTCGGCGCTGTAGGAGGTAATTGCGCCGTACTTTACAGTCCTAATTATCCCAGTTGAGCCTTGCTTGGACGTGATCATCACACGCTTGACTAACTTAGCGATGTCTACGTGCCGGCGTCTTGACTATTGAAGCCTGCGTAGCATCGCGCTTGGTCGTCACTGTTGGGTTCGCAGAAGAGGTTTGAACCGTATGCAGTGACAGCCGGTTTCCGGACATGGTGGCTCAATACGCGATGGTAGAATGAACAAGGATGTCTGGCAAAGTATATGCAGGCACAGGGGGTCATCACCTCTAGTGATTGCATACCAAATCCATGTACGATGGGAATCACAGGAATACCGAATACCGGCCCAGAAAGAGTGTCGATCGCTGGTGACCTCCCAACGTGAGAGGTATAGAACCTCTCAAATCTGGCTAATTGCGACCCGCGGATGGACCTTTCTGGTGCGAAGAGATTCTAAAAGTGAGAAGATCTAATGGAACGTTCACCTTGGTATCGGCCAGGTTGCTACCTTGTCGACCGTTTTCAGTTCTCCGGGCCGAGGGCTCAGTTCGTTTGCATGGCTAGGCAGCTTTCCCGGTATTTACCAAGTCGAACTATACGGCATAGCGCTGTGGATCATGTGTTTTTTTTTTTAGTAAAAACCTAGTCATTTATGATACCTGATGGTTTCTCTTCCAGATGCCTACCTTGTGCGTTACGTGTACCCGTTTGGCAATATTTTGCGACTTACGCAGTTCAGGGGCTTTGCGAACTGCTGCGAATGCCTTCAAACTCCCGACGGTCAGCCTAGCGCTAGCATTCCAAGCGCCGACGGGGGCATACCCACGCCCGAAGCACGTGCTGTTATCAATTCTGCATGGGTGTGGAGCGGTCTCACATGCCAGCGTCGTTTGCCGGGTCAAACTGCGTAGCGAACGAAGTTTGGACTTGCCTCCATTCCAGCTCTCTATCAGCGTGGCTTCCGATATTTATTGTAACGCAGTTTCATAAGCCAGAGCCGAGTCAGATCCGCTCTGGGCGATAGTCTTGTGGTTGCCCAGGTGCTTCTTCTTCAATGGATCTGAGATGGCGTTGCTCGCAACCGCGCTGCTCGGCCGACACGCCACAACCGCGCTAATCATGCGCCTAATGACCCAGTTGTAATTTGAAGCAATTATATGGGTGACTGAACAGTGCATCACAGCCAACAAGGGTGCAAATTTCTCAACTGCGTTCTATACAACGAAGCGTGTTGATGAGTGCGATGGGAAGAGCAATACAGAAGAAAGCTCATATGATATGGCTCAATCCCTGTTGACATCAGCCTAGCTAATGTTTGATGGAGTTTGGCAGGCGAAACGACTCGTTATTAAACTATAGCTATTCGTCGCTCGCCAGTCTGGCTGAGGCATTTTTGAGGGACTACAGAGCACCAGTCCCGCATTTCTTGGCCCACTAGATAATCTCGAATCGTCGTCCGGTCTGCTCGACTAAAGCCCCTACCACTTGAACCCTTGTCACTTGAGTAGACGGCGCACTTGGTTAGACCTTGATCGCTGAAGTTCAGAGCCATGGCTGCTACGAACTCGGTCTTCGCTAGGTTTGCGTAGTGCAGGCTCGAAGCAAAACAGTTGGACACGAGGAACAGATATCAAGCAATAAATACATGCTTCTGTTTCGGTCAATGAGCGTGACCATGTGTAAGATCAACGAACTCTTTCCAGCGAAAGCAGTCGAATATGGGGAGGCTTGTTCGGCAAGAGGTAGGTTCATATCAAATCGTATACCCGTAAATGTCGAGTATGCGTGTGAAGCTGGGAGCCTCTAGTACTAGGGCAGATTTTATCTCACGTGGTAAAGTGGCAGATAGCGATTTCGGGCCTTCATATATGGTGGGTTCCAAGCACGAGAAGCACGAGCATCCGTGGGTTTCAACCGGTATCACACGAAAGCTCCAATTAAATTTGGGCTCAATATTCCGAACCCCGGTACAGTTTGAGTCAAATACGATTTATGAGATGGGAAGCCTTTGGCACATTTCATGCCGCTCAAGTACAGTATGGCAGTAGTTATCGAATGCCACAATCGACTTGCACATATTTGTCGCCAAAAGGCGCTTTCCTCCACGAGAAGGTTTCGGAAACCGTCAACTTAGTCACGTGCCATCACCTGCATGCGCGAGTGAAGGGGGAAATCCGGGGCCAGAAGACTATTACCACCTAGCAGCTGGACAGATCTCCAACGACCTTTGTAACGTGTAGCCAAGTGTCCCAGTCAAGCCGACGCTTGGATGTGATCTGCGCTGGAATTGCGCGATAGCCGCAAGGCATTGATCCAAACCGCGGATTCGCAACCGTTATGGAAAGATGACAAGGGTGTTACCGGGTGTTTCGGTATGGTCCACGATATGCATTCTATCCATACACTGTGTCTGGAATGGTAGAGATCAACGACTGCCCCACTCTTTAATAACCAGTGCCACCTGGATCTAGCCTATTTGTTCTGTTGACCGACCGTAGCCTGAACGCAAAGCCCTGCACTAGTATTCATGGGATGGCATTGAAAAGCCCCTACCAAAACCGCAGCTGCCCATCACTAGCAACCCCACTTGGCGCAGAATTCCCACGGCTAGGTGTGCTAAGCAGGTGGGACAATTCCCCAGAATGAACCAATGTGTACAAACTTACGTGTCCAGTCTCACCGTTGAGCTAGCAGCTTTAGCTCCTTTGAAGTCCGGTTTGTTGTCGACAGGTGCAGTTCGCTGTTCAATGTCCGTGAACATTGACAGACGACAGAGTTTGGCACGCCGCACCTACCTCATCGTCATTGCGTACGGTTGTCGATGGTTCTGATCGTGTTCATGTTAGGGCCCGAGTTCAGATTTCGAGCCTGAGCCTGAGCCACCTACCATGGCTGATTTTCCGCCAAAACTTTGATCTCCTGTCTGTTCAAGGAAACGACCATGGAAGCTCGTGACAGAGATAGTAGTACCATTAGAGCTATGTGTCCTTACTAGCATTCAAAAGCACCCTGTGAAACGCCTATCACTGCGTCGGAAGATCAGTCATTGCTAGAGATATTCCCGTCATACGTTGACGCCAACCCATTGCATGGTATCAAGCCTAATGGCGACGTGGAGTAGTCCAGTGCTTGCCAAGCTTTGCTTACGTCGGTCCTTCAAATCCTCTATTTCTTTCCGCGACGTGATTGAAGTGGGTCTTGTTCCCATGCCCTAAGTAGATTACCAACTTAACACCCCGCTAAAGGGCACCTCGTTCCGATATGTTGGAATGATATGAGCCAGGTCGTTGTAATCAGGTTCGCTACGTCGCGATATCGACTACCATCCTCGAAGTCGCTGCTTAGAAGCATGATCTGATCTTTATTCGACCGGCAGCAGTTCTCCAGATACCGCGTCGTAGAGCCACGTGTCTCTTTCATATATTCCATGGCCTGCTTGACCACTAGAGGAAGACACATTAATAAGGCAAGCAGGCTTTTTGTGCTCACCGTGTCGCGCATTTGCTTGTCGCTGAGAGGTATCTGTAGTATCTCGGTGGCCTCGTCTTCCGACATCTCAGCGACACACAAGACATTGCGAGTAGGCATGTCAAGCTCGAGGGCAACCTGTTGGAATTGCGTCGTCAAGACGTTATAGCCATGTCGGCTCGAGGGGAGGCAACCACGAAGATCGACGCCGTCGTCTCCGAACAGCGAATCGATGTCGTCAGCATTGTCGATGATCAAGAGCTAGCTGCCAGGACACATTCCAAGTGCCGCCTTGACTAGACCCTTGACGTCGGCCTTGTCGTCATCCAAGCCAGGCAGCTCGAGCGCGCTGCCTATATCGCGATAGCCATTCTCTAAAGTAGTCGCACTCACGGCCGACACCCAAAAGACGGAGCAGGCCGGGCTCTCTCTGCGAATACGGTAAGCGACCTCGAGCCCGAGCTGCGTCTTGCCTACACCTTTGGCACAGCGCCAGACCTAGACACTACAGTCTACTAAGACAGAGGTGTAATTGCTCCTTTCAGCCGTTCGTCCCTTTGTCCTCTTCTCTATCTCATCCACTGTGGTCGATACTTGATTGATGCCACGCATACCAGGGGACGGGAGGTCAAGGCGCGCAGAAGTGGAAAATCCTTCTCGGTAGGGCTCAAAGCTTAGGGAAGAAGGCAAACGTCTTTACTGGGACCCCGTCCACAGGAAGATGCAGATCGCTGTTCATTTGCCCCAGGCCAGAAACTGCTGAGTTTAGAAACACTTGTAAGTCTCCAAAGCAGACCCTAGAACGGCAGAATACTGATGGTTACCAAGACGGCTTGACCCATCATACTGGGATCACATGGGCAAATAATGTATGGCTATTGGGATAATAAACAGCAAGGCTGTAAGCCGGTGTGCGAAGATAAGTATAGCTTCGGGACCATGGAAGATTGTTGGTGAAGCAGCTCCACTCGGGACAAGCCCGAATCCGCCTCGCGACACCAGTCGTGCCTCTTTATTCAGCGTACGTGGTCATCAATCGCTATCAAATCGTGAATTCGAACTCTTCGCCGCAAGTTTTCCCCGAGTCTTCGTCATGCCCAATCAGCTCGAAATTCACTTCGTATACCATAGTATCATCCTGTCCTTGCCAATCGAGCTTGGAAACCTTCTCGGGCATCTGAGCAAGATATGCTACCGCCGACCTCCACCTTCGCTCCTGATAGTTCTTATCAGCAAGCAGACTGATCTCCTCTCGTCCTTTAAAACCCGGGCCCTCTACTGACAAGAAAAATGTGAACACATCTGCTGGCACCGCCAAGCTCGAGATCAGGGCTTCAAACTGGGTATCCTCCAAGTGTTGGGTTAGGTTCAGGCCTCGCAGGTGGGTAGTGGACGGTCGCTGAAGAATGACGTGATATATGAAAGTTATTGCAAGCCACCTTGGCCTCCGGAGTTGAAGTTGCATGCCATTCCCCGTGCGAATACTCTGCTGTTGTCCCTCTCGTGCTTGTCGCTCGTCGACGCCGAGTTGCGAAGGCTGCATTGATCTACTGTGCAATGCCAGCAGTGTCTGAACTGCTTCCCGCTCGTTATTGTTGAGTCTGTCCATCTTTATTGTTTGGGGGAATATTCCGAGAATGAACTATGATGATGGTAGCGGAATAATCAGCTTTTCGTGTTGGCAGCTAAAAGCAAGCCCTAAAGAGCAAACTGGTGGAAGTAGGATCAGATGGGATGGGGCAGAGAATATAAAGTAAGAGAAGGGATACGGGAAGCACGACTCCAGACACGGCGAGAGTCTTGTTTAATATGCTCAAGAAAGTGTAGTAGCAATGACACTTGTCCCTAGGTCCTGCCTACGTCAGTGGCATGCCGATTGACTGAGGACAAGGGCCCACCGCCCAAGTGAGAGAGCACACGAGCATGTAGGCCGCTACGTGCTTGGAAGGAATGCATATTTATATGGCTCTGATGTAGCTCTGATGTGAATAATTCAGTACGCCCTAGCATTGTTGAGACAGATGCGGGCATCTCTCATCGAGAAAGAGCGGGCTGCTCGAAGCAATCCCCGTCTACTATATACGTTCGTTGTCCTGGCAGGACCAGTTAACAGTGATCAAGTTCGATCAAACATGGTGATCCAAAGACAAGGGATCCCAGTGAACTGTGCTTCCCGTTGCAACCTCTTCCACCATATCCTGAACCCGGTCTCCGGATAAGTAGGTGACCTCGCCGGTTGTAGTGCTCACTACATGGAACATCAACGTCTCGTGACACCAACTAACATCCAACGGTTTGGACCTGCCATCCACTTGGACAGTGACAGAAAGATGCGGCCAAGCTCCAGGAGTCATGAGATCGCTCAAACTCTCGCGCTGGCCCCCATTCGAGACATTCCACACCCCTTTTCTCCACTGGAATCTCTGCACATTCTCTTCACTTCCTAGCTGCACCCCGAGGACACGGACACGGGAGTTCCGGCCGTGTCGCATCTTCGGCTGTCTTATAGCACCACGCCTTTTCTTCTGTGCTTTCCTAGACTTTCGAGTCCTTTGCACCGGGCTCTGTTCCGCAGGAGGGGACGATATGTCAAAGTCCGACAACGTAACATCAGATGCGACCGTGAAATATGTTTGGTCCCAGTTGACAAGACCAATATCTTCTCGGTCGCTTGAATCAATCAACATAGGGCTAGGCGCATTGTCGTAGTATCTCGTGTCAACGAACGCGCAATCGCCAAGAACACAGAAACAGTCCTCCCTGCTATCAGTGGTGGTGCCTAGGCAGTGTAGGTCGCAAACACCGTCCACACCAGCACTCGGAGAGGGTGATAGCCTAGGTTTCTGGTTGAAAGTTGGCCGGATGGGCTCAAGGCTTTCCTCGTCCGCCCGCTCTTCTTGTGGTGGCAACAAAGTATCGTCAAATGTTTGCAGCTTTCCTGAGTTTCCTGAGATGCTGGGTATGAAGCCAGTTTCTGGATCGGACTGGACCTCAGAGGTGTCGAATTCATCGATATACCATAACTGCGAAGGATACGCTCCAAACGATGAGAATGGCCTGATTTGATGGTAAAATTGGTTCCCATCATGATGACGGAACGCTTTGAGATGAGACATAGCAGAAGTCATTGGAAAACTTGAAAGACAAGATGTTAAGAAAAGGAGAGAAGGGAGTCGATGATATTCGGTGGCTTTGCTCCCATATATATAATTCGGAGGGATCCCATATGCTCATGTGCCACCTCACTCGGCGTAGACGGACAAGGGGGCTGTTTCCTCATTTTGTCCAAGCTCGGGTATCAGTGCCAATCTACTTGATAACGGGGGATATATAGCTAGTGTGCGACGGCCTGGAGGAGCTATTCCTTGCAGGATTGTGTGCTCGCACAGCCAGCATTGCTACGTCGCTTGCCCGTGGTTCTCGTGGCTCAGGAAAGACACTTTGCGCAATGCTTCAAAGGGCCGCCTCACAGTCTTTGCTTATCTGCTACAAATCAGCGTCACAATCTTGATGATTTCTTCTGGGGATTGAGGCTGGCGAAGTTGGACTCCCCGCGTGAGTAGTCGAAACCTCGATCACTTCTAGTAGGATCTTATCGACCTGGTCACGCGATGTTCGGGAATTTGACGCCCAAGATGCGGTTTGTCAGGAGTTTCTTCTTGGTTTGATCGACAATGCTGTGATCGAAATGACAAACCAAACGAGCAACTCGTCAAGCAACTCGGTACCTGCGGGTTCTTGGCCCGAAACCGCAACGAGTAATGTCAACATAACGTTTCAAGGACTCCCACGGCCACGGCACCGTATTGTCGTCGTGTCTTTTTGCAGACCTGTGGGTTGCCTGCTGTAATGAGCTCAACGGCCAGCGGAGACATTTGGTGAATGGTACCGGCGATACACTGCCAGCATGTATAATGATGTTTAAACAGCTTGACTAGCCCGGTCGTTATTTTCTGCTTTTTTCGTTAATCTTTTTAGTAATTATGTAGCATGCCCTTTGTTCATGGTCGAAAGGGCTTCATGCCAGGCGCACAGGGTAGCGGAGGAAAACAACTATAAGTTTAATCGTTAGTACTCATGGCACGGATCTGTAAGTTGCACAAGTCTGACCAGTGCGAAAAGCCTTGTCAGCAAAAAATTGAGATAGGAGTAGTGGAAATGAACAGTCTCGGTGAGGGTAAGGAAGTTTACGGCGGTAACGATCAGCTATATCCAGACTACGTTGAAGATGGTCTGGAAAGTGCAGGATGTACCAACGCCTCCAGCGAGACCCGTACGATCATATCTCGTCGCCCTACGACAACGCTCCCGGTCATCCTGTCATTTACATCGTATTCGGCACAACCCTTGACTTCCCCTATCTCAGACGGCAAACCGGGCTAAGATGAATCCAGCACCGAAAGGTGGCTTAGTCCGTACTGCGGCCTTGGAAGCTATGTGGCTACAGGCCCTAAGCTTGTTAAGGTAATGAAAAGCAGAACTAACAGCATATGCTGGTCACGTTTGTTGTTCTTGCTAGGAACTCGGGTTTGAAAAAAGATACAGAAAGCCAATCGACCATAGGCTACTAATCTTGACTGATGACAAGGCGGATTCAGGTCGCTTCCTCCATCAGTAGGCTGACAGCAGCGGAGACACCCGATTCATGTGACAAAGTGCACGGAGGGCCGGGTAACCCCAAATCCAGGGAGCCACCCGCACGATAATTTCTCCCTCTGCTAGCTTGCTAGGAGGGAATATAAGTAGAGTTTGATTTCCTCGCAGTTGAGTGTTCATGCTTCTACATACCCTCAATTTCCTGTCATCCACACTCCAACATTGATATCGATCATTGTCACCACTAACACATCCTCTTTCGCAATGCCATCCGAACGTCTAATCCGGACCCGGCTGACAATCGTATTTTTCAGCACTATCTCACTTGCCATATCCATTCTCAACTCAGCCAACGCACGCTCCGCTGTCATCTTGCGAGACAGAGCCAGGTCCGACTATGCGAGCGCTTCTCATGCTAGCCTGGCTATCAGCTTTGAGTCGCTGCAGAAGAACATTCTTTTGGACGTGCTACCTACGGCGATGCTCAGCGCCGGCTTGGCCATTTACGGACTTGTTGTAGCACTGCACCCAAGATTTCTGTGGGATCACGGGAGTGCTTGGAAACTCTACGCGATCGCCAAGATAATTATATCATTTGTTATGATTGGCGCTGGGGGCTACCTTGCGGACCATGTCCATGATCTTCAAAGCGCCTTCGCAATCTTCAACGCGAGCGACAAAATGCCGTATTTCAGCTTGATGTACTATGGCGGTATCGCTCAGGCAGTGTATGGATCTGTCTTGGTCTTGTTTGCCATTATAATTGTCATTGTTGTTATTGCGATTGATCGCTATCAGGCGAAGGACAGCGCTTTGAATTCTACAGCACATCATGCATACCATCTCTGACGATCTACACCCGACCACGGGCCAGTCTTGTCGATGATACGGTGCCCCGGTAGTACGGTACCCGCGTGTCAGAGACTGTTCCTCTGAGCGCAGTGCAGAAAAGCGTGGGCCAGTATTCTTGGAGTCAAGGATAGGATAGTATCAGACCAGGCGTTTCAGGCAGCCAAGAATGCCGTACTGAGTAGACATGCTTTCAATAAGCCATCCCACTGTGTTCTCGAGGATCCGATGATTGTGCCATTTTCTATCTACCTCGGCACAGCACACAATCTGTAATCCTCCTATGTTCAGGTGTAAGAATTTCCAGTTCGTGAACAATTATAGGAGAGGTTGACCAATTTGTTATTATATTCATTTTATTAGCTTTCAGTTATGCACTATCTGAGCCAATCATACAACCATCCTTGAACCCCTTACGACCTGGAGCCCGCGCTGGAGTGTCTTCTCAACAGTTGCTCCCAATCCATTCCACTTCCCTGACGTGTAACATGAGTGATCTCATTCAGCCTAGACTCGATAACCGGATCTAGATCGTTTCGGACAGAAATCACCAATGATTCAGGCCCGTTCAGATATTGGTACTTCGACATCTCACGGAGTATTTCCAATGCGTATAGGACCTGCTCTAGTCAGATATTTGCATTAGCCAAGGCGATTGGAAATGGTATAACTAACCTCGTCCTGCAATGGGCCTGAAACCACGGTAGAAACGGGGGTTTCCGGACTCATCACCTCGTTTATTGCAAATCGAAGGAATCTACGAGGATTTGGACAAATGCACATTACATGTACCTGGCTATGCAGTATGTATCAAAAGCTATGAGAGAACAAAGGGACACACCTCATTAGCATTTATCTCTTTTTGCTCGGGGTGGTGGATTTTAGCGCCGGATTCCGGACTCAACTTCTGTCTCCACTCCCCAGTCGACTGGGAATTTAACCTATGAGACCACCCATCGCCTGAAAGACTCTCCACATTACGTTCGACGAGAGGGCAGAAAGTGCGTTAATTTTCCATCACTTGTAATGTGGTTCGGTAGTTAGTCGTCTTTTGCCCACATTACGAGACGCAGTCATTTCAGAGTTGTTCCCCCCAGATTGTGTAAGTGGCTATATGGCGCACCAGTGAGCCATCTCCGAAGGGTCACAAGCGCTTTTAATATTAGTGGGGCCTGCTGTGGGCCTAGTTGCAGAGTTGCGAAGTGATCAGCAAATAATTGCGTGACCAATTTTGAATTCTGACAACAACACTGCCAGTAGGTGTGCACGAAGCAAACAGTTCAAGAACGAGTAGGAGGAATGTAAGAAGGTATAGCTTATCTGTTGGCGAGAAAAAGAGGCTCGCTGCCATCTGCACGGCGACTCGCCTGGGCGAAGCCTTGTGCGGCTAGTGTGCGGGTGGCTCTATCGCCTGATGCCAATCTAGGTGCATGGTCCAAGTGTCCATTCAAATCCCTAGAATTGGAGGTTGTTTATTGCGCATCGTCCGGAGTGCGGTCCTACGCCCCACAGGGACTAGCACCGGAATCCGGACGACCACAAGATTTCGGCTTCAGACTTCGGCTTCAGATTTCGGCAAGAATCGAAAAGCTCAGGCCTCAGTCAATCCCTTACAGATGCAGAGGTCAGATTGTGTTGGAGCATCTTGCATGGAATGGTCACTTTGCCAAGCGCTTAAAGGGCCAGTGACGGTTCAGCCTTCTAGCGGTCCAGCCTAACCCAAACTTGGGTAGCTTTCGTACAATAACGGCTGCAACGCAGGAGGCCAATCGCGTTATTTGCGACAAAGTTTTGATTGTCCTTGGAGTCCATAGGCCATAGCATGATCATAACTTCTGCAGAACACTTTTCTCTGTAGGGTCGCACAATCAGAACAGACAACCTGTCAGTCTTGTGTGAGTCTGTCTATGGTTAAGAACGGGACCTTGATCACTTACGCATTTGCAATGCAGATATATGGATGCGACATTCGCGTCCACCACGGTATCGCATACATTGCACCGTATCATCACGCAGGCGCTGTCCTTTTCATCACCACGTTTCGGACAATCAAGACCTGACAGTGATGCACGTATCTCAACTGGAGGCCAATTTTTATTGCGTGTTCTGACTGCGATCTGGGAGCAGCTGCGTAGATCTTGGAATGTTTCGCGTACAATGAAGTGTAAATCCTGCCGAGAACGCCATAAGATCTGGTTCAGCCTTCTGTGATCGAGAGAGTCTTGTCCAGGGATGACTAAAGATTGCAATTGTGTGTAGAAGTAGTCACGAATAGAATTTACCACCGGTATACTCTGTAAAGACATGTTCACGATGCGCGTAGGAAGAGCGATTGTTGTTGGAAAAGACGTATGAAGTAAACTGAAGTAATGTAGAACAACTAGAGGGCAAGACGGAAAGACTTTTGTAAGCTGTCAGTTCTGACTATATCCAATTGCGGCTCTGGGCAAGTTCCCGGTGTACGTTGATGGCTCCTGATGTCACGGTACGCGCTGTGGGAAGTACTGTACGCTCGAAGCCATTCTGGCGACTCTTTCCACCAAGTCCATTCAAAGCTAGATGCTCCATGGAAGGTTCCAGACTTGGTCAAGAATTACTGATGAACTGTCTCGTACAGACTGGACCCCGATCAGGACATCGTACATATCGTGACGCGCCTGGGCCAAGGACTAGTGGCCGAAAGAGGTGAGCAAACGGACCATGGCACATTGACGAAAGACTCCTTGTTAGCGCTGAGCCGAACTCGTTTTCAGGGTCAACAGAAGGTGCGTTGCTTGGAGTTTCAAGTGGCAGCCCGCGCTGGCGCGCTACAAGAAGTCGCTTATGGCTGCAACTATAGCATGGAAAAGTGCGGGGCTGGATTCAGTGCAGAGCCCGTTCGTCCCTAGATGAACTAGTCGAGATAGGGGCATACCCTGATTCATACCGACATTCAACTCGCTTTTGACGTGGTAGTTTCCTATTGTACGAGAAAATATCTACAAGGTGCCCGTCATAGTGAAAGGCGCAGCCAGACTTAGTTGAGAGCTCAAGGTTCGTAGCCGGCACCACAGACAGGTTGCAGAGGCCGTCTTCGCAAGCCGTTCTAATCAAATACATAACGTATTAAATATAGTATATGAATTTTTTGAACGACGTCTAATCTCCGTGCAAGTAGAACTCGGTGATGCACCAGGATCTTCCATGGTGTCCTCGTACGCCGACACAGTTGCCAGCATTTCATCTATCCCTGCTGGAGACCACTAGCCATATTTGCTGTGAGATCATCATTCATCATAGCATCATCTCCTTGATAGTCATCAAAAATGTCACCCGAGCATTCGTTCCACGGCTCTTGGTTATTGTCGCCATGAAGAGAATCTAGGAGAAGTTTCTCAACAGTGGCCGTCCACTTATCAAGTTGAGCCTGAATATTCTGCATGCTAGGGATGTTGAGCTGACGTGAGATTCTTCTCATATCGTTATGACTCACCATTGGTTGGTTTGTTGACAACAGATTGCTAGGTCATCAACCCTGATAATAAGCGTTAGTATACCAGTTACGTTATACTAAAAATATTGCGAAGTCTCACTTATTTTCCAACGCTATCAAATGATTCGAGGGCCCAGCTAGGTTTTCGCGCGTATCACGTGCACTAGTTATCCTGGGTAATTAATATCGTATCACCATTAACTTCACTTGGGCCGGGAACAAATACCTCAGCCTTGAAAGTCGATTTCGGGGCCATGGTGGTTGTGGCCGTGAAGCAGAACTATGATTCGACCCCGAAAGGACCGGAAGAGTTGCGCGTGTTGGGTCATGTTGTTGCGACTGACGGGTCGAACCGAATGTAGATTGCGACATCAGTGGAAGTGCGTCCGCAGAGTCTGATGAAGCTGAACGGCTGGAATTTTGGTTGAGAACCGCTGGTGAAGCATCCTTCCTTTAATAATTGCGACAGCTCAACAGTGTCCTCGCCATGTACACTGGGCAATCACACGCGCGGCATTTCCCTTGGTACTAGTGCGCTGGGGATGGGGCATAGTGGATACTGGAATAGGTCCTAGAAGGGCAAGCTATCTGCTATTTGGAGGATTATTCTCCCCTGTGAGAGATCTAGCGGGTGTCCCATCTCCGGATGCCGGAGTTAATGCAGAGCTAGGCCACGAGATGAACGTAGATTTACAAGGCCAGACGTGATCGACTTGTAGCAAGTGGAGAGAGAAGCCGCCCGGAGGCCGGTGATGAGATTGGAGAAGTCAACCTGTCTCTCGCTACCTCCATCATAGCAATCCACCCAGTTTATACAGTCGCCCCCGTAATTATCTGGCGTTCTGGCGAGAATCGAGACGCATGCCCAAGCTAATGCGACGGGGCGTAGCAATCAAATGGGCGGAATCCCAGAAAGCTCAAGCTGGAGACTTGGTATCTCGATACGCTAAAGGCGAGGCATTGGCACGTTGCTGCCTTGTATAGGCTGACTGATGTCGTATCGTCAAAGTAATCGTAATAGAATAACACGGAAGAACCACATAATACATTTGAACGCGTAAGGTTCAGGTTGCTGGCCGGCCCCTAGCCACCACATAATGCGGCCTTTATATCTAGCCCGTCGACTTCGGACAAGAATTTATGTGTATATTGACGACGATTATTAGAGACTCAATCCAAGATACTCAATCCAATTGATGATATCCCCAGCCCCTCCACCTTCAAGCGTCCTATGTCAAGACCCATGCGTGTACGTTGCTGTAAGTTTACGCATGTAGAGCTGAACCGGACCACGCAATGCAGCCGGGCCTCGTGACTTGGCCAGAAATGGGTGCTTTCCCGTGTCAGCACTCCCATTGGTCAATAGCTGCCATGTACGCACACACAAGGGCGGTAGTTCTCCAGCGTAGAGAATGTCGAGAAAATCAGCAGCGTCGAACGTCCAAACATGGGAACGAGGGCATGCCACCTTGGCCACTTGCTCTATATATGACACCATGAAGCGCTGCATCACATTCCTGTGGATGATATCGGTTGTTGGTTTGTGGCGGAAGTCAAGAACTGGGCGTAGACAGTGAGTCCCGGTGGCTGAGACGACGAAGAACATCGACACGGTCAACCGGAAATGCGTACTTAACTTGACAAGTCCAAACATGGAAATCCTTACCGAAGCGATTCGTGCATCTACTGGTGACGACAAGAGGTGCGTGATTGCTGACAGCATCTGCACACGCGTGAATCTCTACATGAACAATCATGGGGGAGAAGTGCACGAACCTGAGCAAGCACACTGGCGACTTCAGCCTCGGACGCGAGCGGGCAGATGTCCAAGAGGTCAAGATCGAGGCGTTCATAGACGATGTCTGTTGAAGTCCTATTGTAGTATAACCCTAGAAACGGTGCAACGTGTAAGTGGCGTAGGTTGACGAGACTCTCGAAGTCGGTGATTGTCACGTGGGAGGCGTGCTCGACCTGCACCAGCCGGCCTCGGTCCCGCCACGGCACACC